TTTTATTTATTTATTTGACAGAGAGAGACACAGCAAGAGAGGGAACACAAGCAGGGGGAGTGGGAGAGGGAGAAGCAGGCTTCCCAAGGAGCAGGGAGCCTGATGCAGGGCTCTATCCCAGGACCCTGGGGCCATGACCTGAGCCGAAGGCAAACACTTAACCACTGAGCCACCCAGGCGCCACTGAATGCAAATCTTTACATTAGTTTTTTAATATTGAAAGTTTTCAAATAAATTCTTGACATTTTAAATGTATAACATATGATATATACATTAAATTCATCATACCTTGAGACACAGAGGTATTCAATGCTAAATTACTTCTGATATCAAGGAGGTAAACATGCTATAATGACCACCCTTTCCATCAGTTTCAAAGATAAGACTGAATATTCAGAAATTAATAATAATATCCTCAGTTTCCATCTGGTAACTGGGTGGGTCAATGAATTCAGCCCTTGCTCCTTGTCCCTTGTCTTACTTGGAAGTTAGTAGTTAACTTTCCCTGAGTTCAAGCAGGTATAAAAGCGTTGCATTGGCTAACTGAAGTACAAAACACCCCCGGCTGGAGTTTCACTTGAGTATCAAAAGACTCCATAAAGGCAAGCACCATGTCCTCAAACTGATTACTTTCAAGTGAACTGTAGAATCACCAAAGGCTTGATCCTAGAGTAGAGGAGAGGTTATGAAGCCAAACTTGAGCATAATTTGCACACCACTTAATTATTATTACAGTTGAACAGCTAGAGTTGCAGAAAAGCCCTTTTTTCTTATGGGCCCTTGAATGTTGTTCCCAACATCTGTTATAGTGGTTCCTACATACATGACAGTAATGATAGATGACATTATTTCTTCCCACAGCCTCAAAAGTTTGCCTATGTTGAAATCAGAAGTAAAAGAGCTCAAAGAATATAATTTTGATGCATTAAATGTAATTGGCATCAATGTTATTTGATGATTAAATGTATAATAACTATGTTACAGGAAAATATACAAATTCAGGCATTCTCTAGAATTTCTAGATATAGATACTGCCCTTGGGTTTTTGGTAAAGAATTAAAAGGATTTTACTAGCTATTTGACATTGACTATACTCCCTGAGGATTCTGCAAAATGTTAGAAATTACTTAAGCATTGGAAATGCACGAAACATAAGTTGGAGAGAAAACTGTAAGTTTCAAGTTTGCCAAATACCTAGGAATCCTATATGGGATTTGAAAGTTTGGAGCAAAGAATCAAATGGCCAGTGATGACTCCTGAATCATTGTAAATAATACCTAATGATTGTATGAGGTAACTAAAATGGCTTACACAATATGAAAAAAAAAATCATTTAAAAGAGTTGATTCCTAATTTAATGATAACTCTTGTATGTACGCACTTGCTCAACTGCTAGTGCTTATTGTTCTTGATGAAGATGAACTATTCCTATTGTAAGTGATATTTGACTCTGTAATTTGCTTGCAATAGTTACACAGCCATACAAACAAAAATATTTAGATTTTCTTTTCAGCTCTATGCAACTTCTCATGCTAATAAGATTCTCATTGATTAAGGAACTTGGGATGGACATAGTATTTTATTTCTTTTCTACAAGTTCAGTATATTTTCTCCCGAAAAATGTAGTTTGTTAAAATACATTTCTAAAGTGGCCTCCAAGGCAAGTCAGCTTTAATATCCATTATCAACTTTTAGACCTAAAGAGGCCACCCCTGAAACTGAAGAAGAGTGGAACTAGCAGCATTCAAAGAACGTCAACATCAGTCCTTCCTTTGCCAGAAAGGATCACTAGTTAGCAATATTAGCAATATGCTACTTCCACACACCTTGCCAGGCCCTGGGACAACACATTTGCTCAGGGTCTGAACTTGGTTTCCTACGTGGCAGCATGGCCAGCCCCTACTCAGGCTTGGGCAAGGCCATGAACACATCCACTGATAATTTCTATATTTATAGAAAGCCAGGACATGTGTAGATAATCACACAATTGGATATTTATAAAGTGCCAGATTTTATGAATACGGGAATTTGTTAATTAGCACAAGGACTAATCATTAAAATTCAAAAATAGATAAATGAACAGGAATGCCATTTATTTGTTCACATTCCAGGGGAAAGTATGCAGCTGTGATCCTTTTGATGAATGTAGGCTTCTGGAGAAAAATGTGAAGAAGAAAAGTATCTGCAAGTTTTGAAATCTTAATGAGTAAAATCCAGGAAATTACCATATAGTGTTTATATTAAAAATAACCATAGTAATTCTTCCCTTACCTTAAAAAAAAAGTTTAAACTAGCATATGCTTAGCATTTGATTTATACTGTCTTGCTATTCCACTGTTTTGGTCCTTTTCAAGGAGCCAAAGCTGATTTTTACCGGATAGAAGTTAAAAAGCACACACACGTCATTCAGTACCAAATTGTTTTAGCTACAGGGCATGGCAAAGCATGAAATAACTGCTTTAGAGCACTTCCTCATGTGGGTGTGTTAGATAACTGTCCGCTCCAATATTAAAATGAAACCCACTGTGACCTGGCCAAGACTTCGGGGCTCTCAATAGAATTCATGTGCTGATAGGAAAGGCCCACCATAACTACTAAAGCTAGTTAATGACTTTTTCTGGCACCCTATAGCCCTCCTGTGACACAAGCCTTTCAGCTTTCCAAAGTCCTATATAGCAGAGTACGCTGGTTTACTTATGCACATTTTACAATACCCTGCAGCATTTAGATTGTGACAGTCCCTCCCAAAAGAGGCCAAGATTACTTTTCATACCAAAAATATTTTAAATCTACTGAAGGCTAAGAATTATAACGCAAAAGAAAACATATACACATTCTAAAAATCAAGCCAACCATAAATATGACTAAATTTTTACTTTCTTTTATTCTTCCTAGAAGGTTAAAAGAAATTTTCATCTTCTCCTAAAAGCCTCTCCATTTTCTGTTTCTCATTAACATAAATATGCTTAACATGAAATTTTTTTAATGTCATATCTGCAAAGAATCTGTGATTTCTTTACCCATACATGTGTGAGAATATATACATATATTCACATATATGCACATTTGATATCCCCACATGTACCTGTATACAGAAAAAGAGAATTGTTGATCAAGAGATACATGAAAGATTTCTTTTGAAAACAAGGGTAGAATTTTAGTACTCACAATGTTAAGAAAATGACAGGTGCACATACTTTTAACATGTTAGTTTTAAAACAAATTTTTGGGTCAAGAGTTTAAAATGGAGAAAATCACATTTGAAACACTATATACTGTGTACCTACATTAACACATGCTTTCAATAGACTCCCCCCAAAGTTTCCCTTTAAATCTTTGGGGGAAAAAAATCTCTGACAGGACCTGAGTGTACTTACTATTTGTTCTGTTCTTGGTCAAAGCTGTCCTTTCCAGCTTAAAAGACACTTTAGGCAATAGAAGCAAATTAAAAGTCTCCAAATAAATTTTTAAAAAGAAAGGGGATAAAAGACTTTTAGCAGCAAAAGTTCACCACCCTCTTGGAATAATGGATTTTTAATAAACATTTTACTAGGTTTGAACCTTGAGAATATGTTTGGGAATCTGCCCTAGCATCCCAGGTGGCTTAAGAATATTGCTTTATGGACTTCTTTGTGTTGTCAGAGAGGCCTAATGGAATTAAAAAAAAAAAAAGTCTGCCACTTCTATTAAATAAATAATTTATTACGAAAAAGGTGATTGTTATTATCAAAGATCTCTATAGATCAGCATCCATTTTTTATCATTTCTCTTGTATATGCTCAAAACATCTGCGTATCTCACTATCTGACTTTATCAAATGAATGGCAGTTTTACTTTCGGACAAATCTGAATAAAAGTCCATTAAGAGTCCATTTCAAATGGACCTATTTAACTACTCCTTTGAATTTCGAAGAACAGTGTTATGGGAAAACTATTCAACAATGTCAGCTAGTTGTGAAATGCAACTTTTCCCACCATAAGAAAGAAAAAAAATAAAGGAAAAACAAAGCACCTCAGAACTATGTTTGAAATAACAAATGCATTATTTATAGTCCCCAAAATGTTAAATGAATACTTGCAGTTGTTGCATAAGATGGCCTGATACACTTCATAGCTTCCACTTAATAAAAAGATGACCAGCCCCCACTCCTCCCTCCGCAAGCATAAATAAACAGTAACATACTAAAAAGAAACTGTCCTAGGATAAAAACTGTTTGTTAAGAAAGTTTGCATTCTTACTAATCCCAGTGATGTCCCTATAAATGCAAAAGTCCATCTGCAAAATAAAAGTTACAAAACAGAGTACCTTGTTCCTTTCAAAATACACCCCCCAGATGTAATATAGAAGAATGTGTGATGATAAAAATAATTACTAGATTCTTACCCACCCTCAGTGACTAACCCTCACCTTATAGCCAATGCCATCAAATAAATATGCTGGCAAAAAGTATTCAACCTGCTTCAAGGATTTAAACTGTAAATATGGACTTTAAACTTCAATGTAAAACAAAGAACAAGAGTCTCACTTTAGTAATACCCGCACTGGCACTGCAGCTAAAACTCATTGGCACATAACTAACAACACCCAGTTAGCAATAAATAAGGACAACATGATATATAGATAGACAGATGGAATTGAATAAACAGACAAGAAAAGCAAAGAGACTAACAAACATACGGAGGGGTCTGTTATAAAAGAGTGAAAGATAACTGATTTATTTGGTACTTTAGTGAGAAAAATAGGTTTGTTTGCAATTATTTTTAAAGTAATTAAACTGAATCACAAGGGCACACCCTTAAATAAGTATGAAGAAAATTAGTACAGGGTAGGCCTCCTATAAATGTTCCAAATTTTAAGCTAGCAACAGCTCTGTCAAACTTAAATCTGGAAATTAAAATTCAAGGAAGGAAGAATAAAAGCATTGGGGGCTAAAGGAGATGATAGGTAGAGAGGGGATTGAGGAAGCAGGATTTTTTTTTATGAAAGTTGTCTGCCCTACCTTCTTCCCCAGCGCTGAGTTTCTCTTCTCATAATCGGTGTCTCCCTGGAAGTACAGTGTGAGTGGTAATGACTGCCTGCCTCCCTAATGAGTCCATTTTCCTGCTCTTGATGTTGTGTATATACACACACTGCAACCTACCTTACAAACCACAGAGACGGGAAGAGAGAGAGAGAGAGCAAGAGGGGGGGGGCAAAGAGGGAGAGAGAGACAGAGACAGAGCAAGCGAGTGAGAGAGAGAGAGAGAGAAGAGGAGAAAGAAAAACAGAAAGAAAGAGAGAGAGAAAGGCACAGACAAAGCCCTCCTACCAGACAGCAGACAGCCCTCCTTCCCCTATCCAGCAAAATGCAACTCGTCTAATGCAGCAACAGGTTCAGTATTGCCAGACTAACAGAGTGAAAAAGGTATATTCTCTATATCATTACTGCTTGCAAATAAACAGTTTAAGAGCAGCTGGCTCCACCTTCTTTATTTATGCTCCATTATGAGGAATGTATTGTTTCAGTTCTGGCACACAGTACATGTAATTATCATAAATACATTTTTGCATATTAGCAGGAAATAGTGAAATGCATAGCTTATTTGTGCAATCTTTTAAATTTTTTTTTTTTAATGTGAGAGAGTGTCAACAAATCTGGTCTGACAAAAGCCTAGTAATGATTTTAAAGTCAGAGACAGTCTTAAAGGAGGCTCTGAAAGAAAAGATTCCATACAATAGGAAAACTGATCTCAGACAAAACTGATAACTGCAAAGAAGAAATCATTCCTCAGTAAATAAACCAAGACCATATGCAAAATTGCAGACAAAAACAGAATTAAGTTTAATTAACTAACTAATAGACTAGTACTCTAGAAAAGACAGATTGGTTTCTTATTTGAAGCATCTATCTGTACAAATATCACAATGCAATGTACTCTGTATGAACAGGTGCAATGCATATAGTAGATAATGTTACAACAACAAAAATAAATCCCATAAGGAGTTTCTATCATAAGCAGGACAAGATTTCAGAGAATATGGGTCTGAAACCATGGCAAAAACCCCTTGTTCTTTTATTAGGAGGGGAAAATAAAATTAATCAATTCTTCTACATAAACCTTCCTTAAAAGGAAAAAAAACTGTTTTTCTTTGTCTGATACCTCTAACCATTTTTTTTATTTGCCAGAACCAAAATAATGCTGGTATTATACTCCCCACCACATCACATGATCCCCACCCCTTTTCCCCACTCCCAGGTGCCTTTCTCTCCCATAAGTGATATATTTGCAGCTATGGAATTACAAACATCAGAAAACAGAACAAGTTTCAAGCTCTTCTTGTCCCCCAGTTTTTTAAAATTAGACTCTGCTTGGCTAGACAACCACCTTCCTTAAAATATTTCTGTACAGTTTGACTGTGTGTCATTTAGATGGGACTTAGGAACATCACAATAGTGGTTAAATATTCTAAAGAAAATTTACATAAAAAAACTGTGAATGCATCTGACCCATTCAAACCCTGAATCTGGACACAATAATTAATTGTATATTAAGTATATTAATTGTAAAATCATCCTTTTTATATGGTTTAGTGTTTTACCTTACTTCAAATATTAGAATGTGTTCCTTTGCATAAACAAAACTACTGTATTATATAAGCATCAATTCTTTCCCTTAAAAGCCAGTTTTCAGTTAATAAAATATAACTTAATTACTTCAAAATATAACTTACAGAGCAACTATACCTTCACCTGATTCACAAAAATCTTTTAGAAAATCAGTTAAATCTTGGGTCATGCTCAGAACAGAGATCAGTATTGTTTTAGCTATTTTAAGAGTAGATAAACTATAGCACAGAAATTAGAAGATGATGTCTAGCCACACATTGCACAATATTCCTGGGAAAATTCTAGTAGGAAACCAAGAGTCCAGCCCTCTACTCTCATTATAAACCACTAATTCCAATTCTCAGGTGCTGCAATAGTGCTCTGCCCCTCTCAAGGGTGGTTGCTTAATAAAGAGGGGACAGATACACAGGAAAGGGGATGTAATGAAGTAAAAGGGATATGCTTTTGGTCACATGTCTTAAGAAAAACCTTTCTAAAATACCCTTAGTGTGCATGAGGTACCAGCATGCATCTTGCCCCTTACTGCTCAGCCTGGCAGTTTTGTTTTTCTCCTATTGCCCTATTGTTTCTCTAAAGCTTTATTCAAATGTTTGAAGAAAAATGCCACTTTAAAAAGCACACAAGCCTCACAGTTTGACAGACTGATTCAAATTAGATATTACTATGTCCTGATTTTTAAAATAAGGTTCTAGGTATTTTTGTTTTGTTTCGTTTTGTTTTAACCCAAGAGAATAAGAAGACATTATTTGAGTTCTACCAGCAGGAGTCAAAAGGAATGTAAAGGACCGTGAAAGCTATTCACCTTTTCTAAAGAACAACTAGCTAGTTGAATTTAAAAAAGAAAAACAAATATTTTGGCTTAGTGAAAAATGCACAACACCTCAACGCTTTCTCTATATCTGCACACTTTACTAGATTCCAAGCACAGTAAGTGGTACATTCTTAGTACTTTCTGGAGTTCAAGATACACTCTTCTTGCTGGGACAGGAGACCCATGTATTGAATTAACCATAGCACCATGTGAAACAATAATCCTAATTGACTCAGGAAGTTATAGTTATTAAATTAAGTGGTTTTGTATGTTGATATGCCGTTGGGCAATTTCATCCGGTAGAAGGATCCTAGTGGGAGTTAAAAACTGGTTTTGGTCTCAGAATTGCCACAAGTAGTTTGTATACCCTGTGCAAGCCATGTAACCATCCTCAGTTTCCATTTCTTCATATAAAAAATAATAAAATTAAATTTAAAAGGAAAGAACTGAAGTGGATAACATAATAATTATTATGATGATAGCTAATGCTTAGGTGCTTACTATTTGCCAGGCCCTCTTCAAAGTACTTTTCATTTATTAACTCATTACATCCTAGTTACCCTATGAGGTAGAGATTAGTTTTAGTGACACTTTCAGGTAAAGAAACAGAGAGGTTAAGTGATTTTCCTGAGGTCACACAGCATAGCAGTAATAGGATTTGAACCCAGCCTGTCTGGTTTAGAGCTCATGTGCTTAATCCCTGCACCCTATTCTCTCCCAGTATCTAATGACAGCTAGGGCCCCATCTATCCATAAGATTCTGTGCTTATGAGTCAAACCCAATACATCCTGATGATTTCTCATACCTCACTCACTAATACAGTATAGTGCAAATTTGCTCCTCTAATTTACAGAGTTCTCAATACATTTGGTTTAAGAGTCCAGCAACTCCACTCAATCACCTTTGTTTCCAGATTTCCATAAATATGTGCTTCCACTTGCTTGAACTGAAAAACAAGCTATAATCAATAGTGCTAGCAATGTATAAAGCCTACTTGCATAATATATAGTTCCCATAGATTATTCGTTTAAATGCCCTGTGTTTAAAAAAAAAATAAATTTTTGGGCGCCTGGGTGGCTCAGTTGGTTAAGCGACTGACTTCGACTCAGGTCATGATCCCGAAGTCCTGGGATCGAGTCCCACATCGGGCTCCTGGCTCAGCGGGGAGCCTGCTTCTCCCTCTGACCCTCTCCCCTCTCATGCTGTTTCTCTCTCTCTTAAATAAATAAATAAAATCTTTAAAAAAAAATAAAAAATAAAATAATTTTTTAATTAAAAAAAAAAACCTACATAGTCCTTAAAGGTTCCTTAGTTCAAGTATCAAATATCTAGTACTAATGTAAATAATTGTTTAAAGAACTAAATAAATAAAAAATAAAATACAATAAAAAATATCCTGTTTCCCAATAGCCTGAGAAAAGCATCGAAAAAGCAAGGATTCAATTATAAATGATTTGTAAGAGATGCTGAATAATACCATCATTCGATTTTACACACTTGGTTTTAACTTTGAATTATTTAGAGATATATTCTGAACACTTTGATACTAATGACTCATTCTGCAAGAAAGAATTTGCCCTTGCTCTGATCTTTGTGCATTACCTAAACATTGTGTGCCCATTATGTGCCATTCATGAAACTTGGGGATGAAAAGTGAAGATAAAACATTATGATTTAGTTTCTGCTTTTGAAGACTCCACAGGCTGGTGGGAGACAGGCATGTAAACAATATTAGTGTAAGCAAACAATCTTGCCACTCCATAATGTGATATGCCATGTAATGCAGTGCCTTAAACTTTGTGTTTCTCCCTCAGAAAGCTAAAAATGAAATCCAACAAAATAAATATAAATATCTAAGTTCAATATGTGGCTTATGGAAGATGTGTGTGTGTGTGCATGAGCACATGGAACAGGGGAATGTCCTGAGGTTAGACAGGAGACAAATGTGGAGCAGGGGGAGGTACTGAGGTTAGATTGGAGACAAATAGTTTATTCTCTAGCAGTGTGGTTTATAGACCCAATGAGTACACTTTATCCACTGCCCCCAATGTGCCTACTAAAGTGTCTTCTACAAATACACAGTACATGAAATTCTTAAATGATTGTGGAAATCAGTGATAGCTATTAACCTGGAGCATAAAATTTCATTAATCTTAGAGTTATAGAGTACTTTGGCAAATGAATACTTCCAAAAGTACATGAAAGGTGAAACTTTTTTTTTTTTTATTTTGGAAAGAAAAAAAGTCAACCAATTTCAAAAGCATTTACCACTATCCCAAATATACTTTTGCCAAGTCCTTTTTCAGGCACCATTAATGTTTTTATATCATGTGAGGCTAAGCAGGAAAAAATGTTGAAATCGTTTAAGATTGTTCATAAGAACACTTCCAAAAGAAAGAGGGGGAGTAGTTAAAAAAAAAAAAAGAGTCATGCTGCAATGAAGGACAAAACAAGAGTTTTAGCCCTAGTACATGGGTGAAAAGCAGAGACTGGGGTTAATGGGCCAAAATGACTAAGTGCTATACTAAGTACTGACTTTGTCGTTGAGGCCACCATCATAAAGTCAATTCTATGCAGCATAATTAGATGAATCAGGAACAGATCCCTGAGTCCCCTTTACCAAACATCTCTCTATAATCTTGTATCCCTGTTCACAATAGATTATTCTCAAACATGTTTAAAAAAGATAATTT